GCCTTACAGCCTTTTACAGCATTTTAGTAGGCTTATTTACAACATGACTATCATTGCAGCTACGAGTCTGATTTTTGTTTCCTATTTATTGTTTATCATTTCATAGTTATCGATATGATTATTGCCCAATTGATGAAACATGTGGTCTATAATTTTTGCCCAATTGTTATAATCTAATTATGTGGTTTAAACTTTAAAGTGATTTTAATTTGCTTCTCTTGTGTTTCTTTTTTGTAAGTTACTATCTTTGTCTCATTTTTGTTTGAGAATTTTTGTGCAGACTATATATTTTGTTGTGTATGCTAATCATGCATAATTAGATCAAACTGATAGATGCTTATTGTTTTTTTTCTTTTTTGAGTTCAGATTTCTTATGATATTCAATATGGCCTTGATATCACATGAAGACATCACATTGCACACCTAGAAGAGTGTTTGACAATCGAGAGATCTATGCATTATAAGAGGTAATTGCCTATGGCCTTATGTTTTTATTTTTTCTTTCCGACTATAAGTTTCCTATGATATAAGTTAAACTTAAGAATTTTATATTCTTTTAGGACTATAAAGAAACTTTGAAGATTGAATTGTGTAGCTCTATTGCCAGAACAAAACACTTGTAATATGGCCTTAAGTATCACATGAAGATATCACATTGCCAAAACAAACTTTGAAGATTGAACCGTATAACAAACTTCAGATTTCCTTTTCCATTTTTTTTTGAGTTGAGATTTCTTATAACATTCAATATGGCCTTCGAAAGATTTCTAGAAGTGTGTTTGACAATCGTGAGATCTATGCATTATAAGAGGTAATTGCCTATGGCCCTATGCTTCTTTTTTCTTTTCTAACTATAGGTTTCCTATGATATAAGTTGAACTTCAGAATTTTATATTCTTTTAGGACCAGTAAGAAACTTTGAAGATTGAACTGTGTTGCTCTATTGCCAGATTAAAGTACTTTCACATGATGAATTTAAAATCTTGCTATGGTGTCTTTGCTAAATCTTTATTCACAGATACAAGGATATTAAAGCATCTTTGGATTTTCTTAGAGGGTGAAAATATGGAAACTTATGGTGTTGCACAACTATAATCATATTCAACAACTAAGAGATCTATGCATAATTTTGATCTAAGATGTAACTTCTTATGTCTTTATTTTTTGGGTGACTAAAGGTTCCCTAAAATATCCATTAGCCTTCAGATTTTTTATGCTCTTTTAGGACCATTCTAGAACCTGTGAAAACTTTTATTTGGTGTAGATCTTATTTCACTATAGAGTACTTCATTTCACTTGAAATAGTGTTTTTGTTTTATGTTTCTTTGCATATACAAAGATACTAAAGCATCTCAGGATTTTGTTTAGAGGGTGAACAAATTTAGAAAATTATGGAGTTGCAAAACTAAAATTGTGTTTGACAATCAAAAGACTGTTGATCAACCACTCAGATATTGTTCAAAAAACTGTTCATGAAATGAATAATTTCCAATTTAAAATTTTTTGAAAATAGTTCAAGAGTGAAATCCAAGCCTAAAATTTTCTATTTTTAGTAAGATGTGTCATAATTTCTATAGAAAGCAGTTATTCAACCTAAGAGAACTGCAAACCACAGTATATACCATTAATAGTAAAGAGATACCAAACAAATAAATCTATGAGTTTGATAAAGGTGAGGCATTGCAATTCTGTTTACTATGTTTTTCCCTGTAAAATGAACAAAAATATCAAATTTTTATGTGTTTCCATGAATAGATTAGGTCTTCTGCAATATGATACACTTTAGATCCTAAGATAGGGCTTGAAAAATAGTGTCAAATGGGATATAATGCAGTTCTAAATTTTAGAACTTAGCTTACTAGACCAACAGTTCACAAATGCTTCATTATAGTGATAGTGGAGTAGTTCGGGTCCTTCCGATTAATAGGATCTTCATTAAAGGTTCCGATTTGTGATTGTTTCAGTCTATGGGATTTATCTTGCTGAATCAGCTGTAGTTGTAGCAGAGTGGTAGCAATGTTCATGAGCTTGATAGACAAGCTTGTTATGTTTCATATAAATGTTCACCAATTAATGACATGGCTACTATTTCAGTATTTTTTCAATTCTGTTGTTGTGGTCATTTACCACAAGTTTCAGCATCCAAGCACTATATCTGAAATTTGCCTTTTGTAAGTATAAAACCAACCTTTGAGTTGGTATTTCTTGTTTCCAACTTCCCTATTTGTTTTCTGAGATTAAGGTAGCAGCAGCGGTTGTGATTATTTATTGCGATTCCAGTAATATCACATGTGGTACCAAGTTTGAATTTGACATGATAATTCCAATTGAATTATTTAAGTCATCATTTTTTTTAATAATCTATTCATGATCTTGTTGGTTGTAATGGAGAAACAAATTGAATATTGGGTAAGCATTTGAAGTTTCTATCACCATAGTTACCATCCCTTCCAGCACCTCTACCTCTGTGCCCCTTGCCACCATCATATATATCTTGTAAACTATCATTGGCTTTATGGACAAGACTAATGCGGTGGAGATTGATGATCCTCTGAAAGCTCCAGAGCTTGATCGAGACAAACAAGAAGCTGCACTGAAGCTCATGGCCAACGGTGCATGCACCCTTTGCAACACGGGGAAGGTGCATATAAAACCTTCTTTTTCTTTTGATTAATGGTTGTTGGTGTTTGAAATATAAAACTAGAAATCAGTTTTATATCGTGAAATTATGCATTTTTTTATTGATGCCTATATGGTTAGCTCACCCTTATTATCCAGAATAATAATTATTCATACTGGTCAGATTTTGTTATTACCCCCTCTGTTTCAAATGGTCTGAATATTTCGTACATGATGTGGAGCCATCCATAAAAGATCCTTCTACTAGATGCTTGTTAGTGTTTGACTTGAAGCCTCACACTTTGAATATAAATTTGAGAGAATATGTACATGAATGAACAACTAGTTTACTTTTTTTCTCAAAAGTGGACGACTTTATATAAAATCTCCAAGCTGATATGCTAGACATTGTTTGTCATAAATGAACTAACAAAATGAAAGAAAGTAGGGAGAACTCGCAAGACTGAATGTTACATCTTTGGACAATGTATCGAACTAGAAGCTCAGCTTAAACACATACTTTTTTTTCATTTGAATTAATGAATTGGTCCTCTCCTCTTTTTCTGTGCTTTCTGAACTTCTTAATGAAATAATTCAAATTGTTTTGAAGAGTTCAATTATTCCAAGAATTACTTCAATGCATTTTAGTGATATACTAAGTGAACTGGTTTTGCAAAAAATTTAGAAGTCATCTGTTATTTTTTTGTTGAGCATGCATATGGATTTTAAGAAGGAATATGGACACCATTTTTAAGTTCCATCATATTTTTTCCTCTTTTTTCCCTTTTCCTCCACAAATTTACGGTAAGGGTCTTTCCATAACTGTCAATATTACAGCAAATGTCTATTATTAGTCATAATCGTCAATATTTTCAGCTTCATACAATGAGATTTTGCCTAACGTCACTATGATTATAGATTAAGTTGTTTGTAAATTGTTTCATGTTTAAAAATATTTCACCTTCAACAATTTTCTCATATGTTGAGGCTTACCTTTCATTCATGTAATGATCAAGGCACATTGCTTTTTTTTATCATTCAGGGACAAAGAGACTTAGAGCATTGATGTTTCATTTACTGGAATTTGAGAATCAGGTTCAAGTATCCTTTCTTTGTTGAATA